AGACTGACTCACTATGTAGCCCAGGCTGGTCTTGAACTCACAGCGAGTTCCTCCTGCCTCAGCCTCCCAAGTGCTGGGATTACAGGCGTGCGCCACCACGCCCGGCAATATATTTGTTATTTTGTTTTGGGGTTTTTTGTTTTGAGACAAGGTCTGTATCTGTAGTACTGGCTCGTGTTGAACTCACTCAGACTCTGAGTGAGCTTCCTGTCCAAACCTCCTGAGTGCTGGAATTACAGGTGTGCACCATCATGGAGGGCTTTATTTTTACTTTTTAATAAGCAGTGGCTAAAACATTTCAAACGATTTAGTTGGCTTTGTTTTATTGGACAGTGCCGGTGTGGACAGCATGGATGTGAAGACATTGCCCTCTGCTGGAAAAGATGCTGAGTTTTTTAATTACACTTTCTAGAGCCTCCAACGCAGTAATTACATGCCAAACTGCCTCAGGAAAGAATCCAAAAAGAAAAAAGAAAGAGTTTAAATGTATTAATTGCCTCTCGTGTGCAAAAGCTCCTGCTGGATGCTTCATACACATTTATCTCATTTAAACCAGAGGTCTTTGCTAGTCTTATCTACAGTTGAAAGATGACAAATTAAGAATCAGAGAATTACTAAGTGGTAGAATGGGAATTTAAATTACTTACATGTAAATTCCAGTCTCTCTACAAACTATCATTAAGATGGGTTTTCATCTTCCTCCCTCTCCTCTTTCTCCTCATCATCAGAGACACTAGCACTTGAAGATCTCTGACCGTGGTGCTTTGTACCATAGGAGCCTAATGTCTACCTCTCCTCAGATGGAGAGCACAGATCCAGGTCACACAGTCAGTAACAGGCAGATCCTGCGAGGCCATCTTGACCGACTTGTCCCCAGAGCCAACCCATTCTGGGCAATTGACTCCTAGACCTGACATTGTAACCTACATTCAGGAACCGCTGGTCATCCCAAAAAGAGGGAAGAAAGGGAGAGCAGATGGCTAAAAGTAGAGTGTTTGCTTTCTTTCCACATTAGAGTCTTTTAAATGTTTATATTGCAGAGGAATATTGTATATTTCGGTGATTTAGAAAAAAAACCTGAAAGATTATATCACCAATTATTTTTGTGTAATATTTATGTTGTTGAAATTAATATGTAGACAAAGTGGTATTCTGATTATTTTCTTTTATTTTTAAAAATGTAGGGCTGCTGGGGATCGAACCTAAGGCCTTGCATTTGCTAAGCATGTGCTACACCCCAGCTAACCTGTTTGTAAATATAGGTTTTCTTGCGCTGCTTCATAGCCTCTTCCATCTACAACAGCTACTTTTTCAATCATTTAGTTAACATCCTCTCATGAGTGAGTACTTTGTGATTTATCTGAATGATTTCTATTGTTTTGTGCTGGGCTTTGGAATCACCTTTCCTGCTTTGCAAGAATTCTAGATGTGTTCCTTCTCACGAGGTGATTATTAGCAGCACTTGTTTGGACGAAGTGTGTGCCTGGGGAGCTGCTTGAATCCTGGTACAGTGTTTCTTACTGCCAGGCCCCCGTGCTTGCTAAACTGAGTCATGGAGAATGTATTTCATGAAATAGTAAAGGCTTCTCTGTGTAACCGCAGAACACTGGAGTTGGAGACTTTTCTACAGAAATTTAAAGAATTGGCAAGAGGCTTGACTGTTCCAATCTTGCTGTCCCTCTGAGTAGAGGAATCTTGTTCTTCCAAAACCTAAATACAGTGAAAGAGAGTGAGTGTTGATCTACTTTTCATACCTAAGAACACCATACAGCCCCAAACACAAGGCTTAGGCCTCTGCAATGCCTTGGGTGCTTCTCAGGACCTCACACTTGCCAAGCGGTCTCTGTATTCTTGAAACTTTTTCTTTTTTCTTTCTTTCTTTATTTTTTTTTAATTGTTTGAGACAAGGTCTTGCTAAGTAACCCAAACTGGCCTTGAACTTCCAGTGATCCTCCTGCCTCAGTATCCCAAATGCTGGGATTACAGGTGTGCACCACTACTCCCTGCTCATCTCTGCAAAAAGAGGTAGACTTTGGGATCTTGGGTCCTCCACTTAGCACCTTTGTGACCTCAGTTTTCTCTAGTGTAAAGTGAAGCTAATAGTACAATAAGAATAATAGTTAATATCATTGTGTTTACCATATGCTTGGGCACTAAGTGTGGTGTCAGGCATGCTTTACATGCATTTTCTCATTTAATTTTTATGACAAACTTCTGATACTATTGGACCTTTGGGGATGGATTTGGGGTTGTAAAGGTTTCATAAGAACCAACCAGGACTTCCCCGCAGGCAGCTGACTCAAAGCCTATTTTGACCCCTTAAACTTTCCGTTACTTCACAGGAGTGCCGTGAGAAGGACAAGCGGTGTAGGGAAAAAAAAAAAAAAAAAAAAAAGCAGGGGG